TTCTTTGGAAGAGAAAAGTGGGATAGAGAGAGTTACCCATTTCAGTGAGATCTCAGAACAATATCAGAATATAAGGAAATCTGCAATTATCCTTGCATACCTGGGAACAATAGAAGAAAAAAGGTCTAAAGGACCATATTAATAAAACATTGCTAATCTTTTTTCCTATGTAGGAAAACTGATTCCAACAGATATACAACATGCTTAGAGATTATTTAGATCTAGCTTACATATCAAAGTATCATATTGAAAAATTCTTTGGTTTTATCTGACCTACTTTAAGAGTCACAACCTACATGATATATTAGCTTACCTAAAAACATCAAGCATTTTTTTCTTTTTTAAGCAAAGAATGATATAGAAGTAGTTACAAATTCAGAAAAGGGAACAGAGGCCCAAAATGATACATTAACTTATTTTATATTAATATTTTGAATTTTTAGAAACAATTTAAATTTATGTAATATTTTCATATACTTCCTTAGAAAATGAACTGTTAATATTAAAATAAGCATAGATTGAAAGTATAGATTCAAATCATACTTTTATTATACCTGGATAATACAAAAATTGTACCTGGAGAAATTAAAAAAAAAACTTTCAGTATCTTCAATTTTTAAAATGACACTGTCTTTGGAAAAGTAAATTAAATTCATTTTGGTTCAACAAACACTTATTTACCACTTACTAATGCAATGTATTTAGGGATCTGTACTTCTAAATTGTTAATGACACTAAAGAAGATAAAATAAGGAAGAGCCCTTTGACCTAACCAAGTACACAGACACACAAATCTATGCTGGAGGTGACATAATTATACAGACGCTGAGGAATCAATTTTCAAAATGTCATAAAAGAGAAGGATTTTAAAAGAAAGAAAAAAGATCACTGTTGACACTTTTAACAGGCATCAGCAACTACCAACTTATACCTCTAGTTTCTTACCTGCAAGAATCTTATAATAATGGTGTAAGTATGCATGCATTAAAGATATCCTTGATTAAAATAAGAAAAAGGAACAGGCAGATTTTTACAGATGATTTTTACATCTGCATGGTGACATATCTGAGTGAAAGGCTTAGAAAACCTAAGACTCTGATTCTTCTATTGTTTATTGACAAAAAAAAGAGCTCCCCCCCCAAAAAAAATCACATTTCTTTCAGTAGACAAAAATGAAGCCTTAGAATCTGTCTTCCAAAAAGGTCATATATATATTAAGGTCAAGAGACATTATATGTCAGATATAAATATAGAAATACTTTTATTTATTCATTATTCATAGATTATCAGCATCAATCCATGCATATACAACAGTAAGACTAATGTTTAGCTAACTTTGGAATGTATCAGTGTCATGGAGGGTTGCTTACAGTTACCAAATAAAAAGATTTTCTATCAATGGTAAAGTTATCTAGATCGTTCTTCTAGGAGATAATATTGTGCTGCTTGTATTGAGTTTTAGAACACTATAAAATCTCTTCAATAAAGTCAGTTTAAAAAGATCAGCCTAACCATCCACTTTAGGAAGATTGCAGCTAACAGTTGAATAGGCAACCCATTGAGTTAGTTAATCCACATGTAGATCTTGTATAGGCTCTGCACATGGAAAATGAAGTAGGCCCACAACTGAACAGCAGAAAGAGAATGGGTTTTATTGCATTTGGGAAATTCCACAGTACTTTCAGCAATTCCTGACATACTTTCTACTTAAAGATCTCATCTTTTAGAATCAGTATTCTCCACTGATGCCGTATGTTTATAAATCATATAATATCATGTTGCGTAAGAATTGAAAGGAGGCCTAATGGTGGCCTAAGGGAGGAAGCAAACATACACATTGATTCTAAACAGGCTGTGGTACATTACCAACAAACAATGACCTGCACAGAAGTGCTATAATGGATACTATCAAGGATATGTCAAACCTGAAAAGGAAGTGTCAGGTCATATACAAAGAATGGAGGAAAACAGATGTTCAGCTTGAGGGAGGCATTGGTACATATGACAAAGAAGAACCAGAAGAAGGCCTTGGGCACAGTGGTTAAATCTTTTTTCTGGAGAATTTATGTAAAGGCATGGACAAGAATCATATGGAGTGTGAAAGGACTGAAGGGTTGGGATCAGTTTAGTGAAGGGGTGGGGAACCTGAGGCCTGGAGGCCATATGTGGCCCTCTAGGTCCTCAAGTTCAGCCCTTTGACTGAATCCAAATTTCATAGAACAAATTGCCTTAATAAAAAGATTTGTCCTGTAAAACTTGGATTTAGTCAAAAGGCCACACCCAAGGAGCTACAAGGCCACATGTGGCCTTGAGGCCTCAGGTTACCCACGCCTGGTTTAGTGGAATAGCTAAATCAATGACATCATGTCTTTGCTGAGTTATCAAATTTTACTCAAGGAACTGGGCTAGGTGCTGGGCATAGAAGGGTGGGGAATTGTATATTCCTTGCCCTTTTTTTATTTGTACAGTGAGTTAATGACATTTCCTTGACAAAAATACAATCCCTAGAAATTTAGAACTAGAAGGAAATTTATTGTGAGATTCTACCCCTTCATTTTATAGATGAGGAAACTGAGACCAGAAGCATTGTATATCCTTGGTGAACAATGTCTATAAAATGAGAATGAAAAATAAATTAGATATGTTCTAGTTTGTAGATAAGAAATACAGCAAAATTTAGTTTAAAAGTGAGCATCCTGCTTTTTATAATAATAAATATTTTATATGGTATATTAAATAGTTTTTATTTCCTTTTTTGGGGAGTGTTTGGAGGAGAGGGAGTATTAGAGTTAAATTCCTTAAAATAAGGTCAGGATATTATTTGTCATCCCTGCAAACCACTGTCAATTCTATATGCCAGATTTAATGAACTGGAAGAACCCTTTTAAAATTATTTATTTTCTATCCTGTTCCACTGCTTTTGGGTAGGATAACATACAAGGCATACAAAGGAGGAAAGGGAATTTACAAACTTCTTGAGCAAGCGGCAGCATTCTCAGCTTAGATTCAGAAGACCTGGGTTTAAATGCAAATTATTCCAGTAATTAACTGTGTAAATTTGGGTGTTACATAAGCCCTTCAAGTTTCTGTTTCTTTATCTGTCAAATGGGAATGATAATTACTTTTCACACAAGATCAAAGGACATAATGTAAATTGTAAAACACTGTACAGATGCAAAGTATTCTCAGTATTAGGGTGCTATTAGGCTTCTAATCTTACAACTTTTAATATGTTTTATTGAAAATTATTAATGAAAACATTGAATTAAACAACCACGAACTCTTAGTTGTATTTTTTAAGCAACAATGTGCTATTTGTTTCCACATCTCCTAATTGCTTTGGATTAATTTTTTTTTAATTTGCTTTAGGACATTTAGAAAGAAGTAGTGGATGTACTGACATATTCCTAACTTTTGAGGTCTACGTCATGATTTCCTACAAAACATTCTTTGGTGCTTGTCAGTGATAATATTGGTTGAATGGACCATTGGCCTAACCCAATAGAACATTTCAGAGATGTTCTTGTAGTCAGGGAGCTCTTAAATTGTAAACAGATTTTTTTTTTCTAAAACAAATTCATTAGCTTGCCCAAGGATTGTAGAGCTGATCACCTATTCCTTATTTAAGATTCCCTCACATACTTAAATGATTGTGATAAAATCCCTCCTTCAGCTACTTTTTTTAAGGTTATCTAAACCCAATTCCTTTAGAATTTCCTTATGAGGTCTATTACCCAAACGTTTAATCATTGCATGTTGCCTTCAGATACTTTTAAAGTCTAAAGTCATGACTACTTCATTTGTGGGCCCCGAGGAGAACTTGAAATTTTAATGAAGTACTACTCGTTCAAGCTTAAGAAGATGATATATTTTCATCATTTAATTTTTGCTGTCCTTATCTAGATACACCATAATGTCATTAGGAAAAGCTGATTTTTTTTCCAGTATTCTGTCATTTGGAAATCTCTGTTAACCAGAACTCCCCTGCTTCTCCAGCACAATGCCAATTGACTTTCATAATGTTGACCTTGATGCACTGAAAGACCTTGAAATGCATTCTCAACCACAAAAGAAAGAGTAAATCAAACAGTGTCTACTCATGTCATGGTTAGAAGAAAAAAAAAAGCTCATTTCCTCTCCGACGGTCCTTGACAAGAAGCCTGCCCCCAAACAGTATCAAATGTTAGAAAAACAAACAAACAAACGAGAATTGACAGCCCTCGGAAAGCAAGGGCCACATCCGAGCTTCATGGGTAATAATACAATGTGTCATGAATTCACTTCTCACCATGAAATGAAATACAGAACAATTTAATAAGGATGACCTTAGCTGATAATAAGCCTTGTCAAAATCTTTGGGGCGTTTAGGGACTGAAATTGAGGGATTAATTTAGGGAAAATTTCCTGATCTAAGTACACTGTTGGAAAAACAAAACAAACAAACAAAAAAAAAACAAACAAAAACAAAACAAACAAAAACAAAACAAACAAAAAAAAAAAAAAACGAGAACATCCTATTTCTGTCCGCTTCGGGTGCTGAGCGGCCACACACCGAGACCACCCAATTCCACCGTCCCAAACAAGTGTCTCTGCTCCTGCTGATAGTCTCTTTTTTTCAATGCAAGCGCTGATAGCTTAGCTATCCTTGGTGCTATCTTCTTGCCAAAGCCGCGAAGCTTCTTGGAGCGGTCTCTCCCTCCATTTAGGCTAAGGAAGCCCTGAGTCTGGCCCTCCTCCCCCCGCGCCTGCATCCTAGCTCTGCTCCCCGGACTGCAGCTTCGCGATGCCCGCAGCGGGGTCCTGACCGCACCGGAGGACGCCCGGGCTGCTGGGCGCTCTCGCTACGGCGCAGGCTCCGCTGCTCGGAGCAGGCGCGTCAGCCGTAGCTGGGCTCGGGCCATCAGGGGGAGAACTGCCCCCTTGGCTAGGCTAGCAGCCCAGCGAGGACCCCGGGCTGCCGCCTCCTCAGTCGACGACGTGTGCACGGGCCCTCGCGCTTTCCGAGCTTTCCGCTTGGTGGACGGGTTTGGGCTGGGGGCGCCTTGGGGGTGAGTACCAGGGGTACCACCGCAAAGTGAAGGTTGGGGGGTGGGGGGGAAGGAGAAGAGCTTGTCTGGGCCGAGGACGCATGCGAACTGGCTAGGTTTTTGGAACCGGGCTAAATAAACCGAGGAAAGGCTGGGGCAAGGAAAGGGGGTAAAAACCTTTAGGGAAGCAAGGGCTGCGGCGTAGGGGTATAGGGGAGAAAGAAACAGTGGGGCATCAGAGCCTGGGGAGAGGAGACGCTGCAACTCTTATCACCTTCAGTGCCCTGCCTTACCCAGGGGTGCTGATGGAGAGGGGCTGGGCGCATTTGGGGATGGAAAAGGGAGAGGGGCTGGGAAATTGGGACGCAGGATGTCCCAGCAGCAATCTTTCTGCAAGTAAGCCCCAGCAGACATTGTTGCTGATTTTGGAAAGGTTGGGGGTTGGTAGCTGAAGGAAGAAAGACAGTTTACATTCCAACCTGCTGCTCTTAGGAAGGCCCTCCCCCACCCCCAAACCTAGGGAATCAAAATGAAGGAGGGACTTACTGGCATGGATGAGGGTGTCTTAGAAGGAACTAGTGCCACCTCTAGAATGGTGGAAGGGAGTCATTGATGCTGTAGGTGGCAACTGAGACCTTCCTCCAGTTGTCATGATAAGCCACGTCTACTGTAAAAGCAGCAAAGACAAGGGCCTACTGGATTTCCCCTTGGGGAGTAGGCTAGGAAACGGCCAAGTACAAAGAAGACTATTTAAAACGTTTCTGAGAGACCATGAATATCTCTTAAGGCAGAGAGGGAAGAATGCAATGGCATTAAAGAAATTGGAATGCTTCTTTTCACCCTTTGGTAGACAGTGAGGAAGCTGTTTATGGTACTGAAAGTAAAAGATGCAGAGGCAGAAAGCTATCTTGATCTTTAGGGGAAAGGAGGATGTGACTCTGGTATGTGACCCAGAATGGTTGTTGTTTCACTGTCTCCTTTAATGTTTCCTGTGACTATATGAACAATCTTTTTATGATTTATTTTAGTACTCTATGGCAAAGCCTTCTCCAGCTAATATCTGCCTTGGGAAAAGAAAACAACCCTTTTCTGCATTTAACACTTTAATAATCCAATGTGCCTGGCACGTAGTAGGTGCTTAATAAAATTTTTATTGATTGGTATTGAGTTTAGCCTTGTAGGAATAGGTTTGAGTGGAAGTATAGTTTCAAACTATCCCAATAGTTTTTTTCTTTTAACTTTACTGATATTTGTTAAAATTTTAAAATTGAAATTAATAAAATTTCATACATATTTGGTGACTGCTTTTTCATTATGAGTCCTTGTGAATTCCATCCATTGTATTTTTTTCAGTATGACACACTCATGAGAAGAGTTTAAATAGGCTGAAGATGAACATGTAGTAATTAAACTCAGATTTTTAACTGAAGAAGTTTGAGCTCTAAAAATCTGAGAAGATAAAATACAGGCCCTTTTGGTACAAATAATGTACACTGGAATAGAAATTCAGGTATTTTCCATTAACTTCACTAATGTAAAAATTTGTTTTTTCTCTCTTATAGATCATTCTGGACTTTATTCAAGATGAAGTTCTTTTGGGGGATTCTCTTTCTTATTTTATTCTCCTTCTGGGTTGAAGAAGCCTATTCTAAAGAGAAGTCTTCCAAGAAGGGGAAAGGGAAAAAGAAGCAGTATCTGTGCCCATCGTATGTTCTTTATATTTTTATATGCAGAAACAAGCTGTGATTTACTTTTTTTTAAATCTCTAAAGGGAAGATATTGTAAACATGAAAGCTAATGCTTCCCATTAGGAGTTAAACATGTTTCTCTTATATTTAGAACAAGGTAAGGTGAAGAGATAGTTAAATGGGATGGTTAGCTTCCATTCTTTAAAAAAATCAATAAATGAAATGCCATGAGCTTGTAAAATTTTGAAGTTTCTCATAAGACAGTAAAAAAGTCATCATAGCCTCCTTACTCTGATTGGAAGCTTTTCATGGGTTGCTGAAGCACCATACTTCTTTAGAATATGCCAGAAAATAAGTCTGCTAAAGTTGACCTGGATATCTTTGTGGGATGTGTGTGTGTAATGTCTATCTATCTATCTATCTGTCTGTCTATCAATCTTTCTACACATATGTGCATGTATGTACATATGTGTATATACATATACACATATAAATACACACACATGTGTGTGTATGTGTGTGTGTATAATGAATGAACATCTACCTAAGCAATGAAATATCTATGGCTACCTTATTCGCCATTTTCATGAATGTGATATTATACACATACACACACATATATTAAGGAAACATATGCTGAAAAAAACAGTCAATGAGGCCATTTCCACAACAGTGTTTTTTTTTTTAAATCAGTGACAATGTGTAAATTTAAAATGCCAAATGACTGAGACACTGGTTTGTGTTTCAGTGTTGACTATTTTTTTTAAAATCTAGTACAATTCCTGTAACTAGTGAATAACATTGGATAATGACCTTCTGAAAGAGCTTTGCTTAAAAAATTGATCGGCATGTAAGTGAAATAAAGATTTTGTAGCATAAACATAGGTGTCCTATAGGTAGCTCTATATCCTATATAGTAAAATTGTAATGAGAATTCAATTTGCATTGAAGATCAAAGTATTACCAATTATGAATTTAAAATATTCCATACTTCTATCATCAGCATTATGTTACTCCTGTGTCATCACTTCTTGAAAATATAGATCATTATTAGGTTGAAGGTCTATATGAGATATTGGAATCCTTTCTTGCAAAGTGTTCTATGTGAGAAAGGCTACTTTCTGAAGACAAAAAACATTAGCACTAGTTCTAGAATATGCATATATGTGTTTATACACATATATTATGCATATATACATGATATTGTTTATACATATGTGTATGTATGTGTATATGTAGATAGAGAGAGTTATATAGTAAATGTCTAAAAATGCTGGAATGATTTCACTTATCTTGTGGAGGAAAAGCTTATTTCTATGGACACTTTCCAATTTTTTAATAAACACATCTACATATATACACATATCTGTATATAGGTGTATATGCACCTATATATACACATGTGTGTGTATACACATACTTCATATGTCATTGTCAGACTCCTGAAGTCAAGAGTGCTTATTTGTTAGTCATTGAATTCACATATTTTTCAGTGATACACCATATGTTCAGAGAATGCTCTGCATCTGCCAATCATATTGCCTTCCACTATAGTTCAGTTCAATAAGTCAACAAGAACTTATTTGTATTCCTACAATGTAATGTAAGTGTTTGTGTTGCAAAGACAAAATCTAACAAAAATATTCTCCAACTTCAAGAAGTACTCATTCTAAAAGAGTATATAATGTGTACACAGATGAATAAATACAAGGTAATTTGAGGAGGAGTTGAGCATTAATGAGGAGGAGATTCAGGAGTGTCATAGGAGGCGACACCTAGGTTGAGCCTCAATGAAAATGGGAATGAATGAAAAAGGGGAGTTAAATGTTCACAGAATGTCTTCTACTCTCTATAGAACAGAAAGGAACAAAGATTATAAGACATTGATAAACTACATACTCTTCACGTCCCATTTTGATACTTTGTCTGTAAAGGGTACTAGACAATTTCATCTTTATTGAGCATTTTGGGAACCTTTCTTACTTTGGGTATTTTAATCATCAGACCCAGTTGTATCATTAAGGGAGAAAATTGATTATATACTCTTATTGTGTGTGCTTACATTGTTTTATTCCTCCAAAGCAGCTATCCTTTAAAAGGACTTCTTTGAATTATTTAAGCAAATATTTAAAATGTATAAAATTATGATTTCAAGGTACCATAGTCAACATATGTTAATGTTTTTTTTTTCATTTGATGGTAACTTTGTTTGTAAATGGTTGACTTTCAGTATATTGTCCTAGTGAATTTTTTCAAAAATCTTTACAAATCTCTGATGGCCCTGGAAAGGCTTACAACTACCATATTTGTGTTTTGGAGGATTGTTTTTTGTATGTATATATTTGTTTTCCAAGTAAATAGTTACATAATTGCTTAGGAATTGTGCCATATTCCAACATTCTGTCTCATTTCAGAACACAACTATCAAATTACTTTATAGCCTATCCAAAGGTAATTATATATGTTAAGGAAATATAGCATCTGTTGGGCATGAATTTACAATTAAATCAAGTAAACATAGGATGGAATAACCCTGTTTTGGTAAATATGAAACTCCTCAACTTGAAATTTTGACAAATTACTTGACAAACTCTGTCTTTAGTATTTTGATTATGTTTATGATAATGGATATTTGAGGCTGTGACTTATCCCTATGCTTTGAAATGTTTTTGCGGGACTCTTATGTAATTCTTAAGTAGGCTTGTATTCATAATAAAAAGTGCCACAGAGTTGCTGATATTTGCAGAATAAAATTTCATTTGCAGAAATATTAATTTTTAAAAGTTAATGACTACATACAGATATAGCTATAGAATTATAAACCTGTGTGAATCTTTTCTATAATTTGTATAACCAGATTGATATTTCATAGGCTGGAGTCATTTGTTTTTGCATCGAACATAGTGTTAATGAAGTCTTTGATTTCATTTTCATTGAACACTATTCTGAACTTAAGGGGATTCTTACTTTCTTAGGCTGTGATTAAAGAAAATGTGTTTAGTTGCTCCAGATCACAAAATAAGGTTCCTTGATGTCATACATGCCATATTATTATGCTAAGTCCTCTGGATGGAAAAAGAAAATATATCTTTACTTTTGCTAACCTCTAACTAAAATGCATTTCCTTCAATTATGAATGGAGGTGACAAACATGTAAGTATTACCAGATTGACAAAGGGATTCGTCACAAACATATACACACATACATACCCACAAAGATGAAGAACTCTTATTAATGGATGGATGGATTATGTGCCTAATTTGTATTTTCCTTTAGGAAATAATATAATCACGTTGTCTTAGTTTTTTGATAGGATTAAATTTAGATTTTTTTTTAGTGGGGAGGGAAATATCTGAATCTGTGATTTTATTGGTAGAGGTAATTTCCAGTGAGGAAACTCCCCCTACCAATGCAGATCAGCAACTATTCTCCAGCCGAGCTTCTCAGAGAATTGCCTGGGCCATGGAGAAGTTAAGTGGCTTGGCAGGCTCATATAGCAGCCATGAATTTGAACCCAGCAGAATTTGAACCCAGGTCTTCCTGACTCCAGGGCTCACTTTTTATCCACCATACCATGCTGCCTATCGTCCTGTGAAATAGTGTAACAAATAGATGATTAAATATTGAATGAAATGTAAAGACTTTACAATAGTATTCTGTAAATTTGATAGTGAGCTTTTTTGGACTTTTGGGTGAAGTGCTAAGACCAGTGATTTGTTACATTAGTAAAAAAAAAACTGCAAATGAAATTTTAAAATTTTACTTTGATTAACTTTTTGCAAAGGCAGTAAACTGGAAAAAAAACTATAAAAAAGCCCTCCACAAAAATTACCTGGATTACCTAAATTCAAGCCTATAATATTAGTGTTGGTCTTGATGTAATCATATATGCTTACCAAATCCTTGCTTTTTAAAGATATGTTCATAATCATCTTGATGTGAAAGAAGAAAACATTTTTCAACGTTTTAGTTTTTATCTTGTATCCCATTTGGCTCACAATGACCTTGAAAATTTGGCAAAGCAGGTAATAGTTTTCCCATTTTGCAGATGGTGATCTTGAATCTCAGAGATGTTAAGTGGTTTGCCTAAAAGTCACATTATTAGTAAATGTTAGAGCTGAATCTTGAACCAGATGCCACTCTTCTGACTTGCTTCAATGTCCTTTCTATCACATTGCCTCTTCTATGTGAGCCCATCCTATGAAACAAGAATTCTTTCACTTTAGGCAAGACCCATTGGCACCTTAGTCTTCATCTTTTTCAACAAGGACTCTAAATAAAAGTATTGGTTTACTTATGATGTGTGGGGATTTTTTGACTTTGTGCCTTTGAAATTACTTGCTTTAATTAAGCACAAAATATAAAATTGAAGGATAGCAAATGTTATGACTTTGGTTTTGGAATTCAGACAAATTGAAGAACTCAGGATTAAAAATATAGGCCATCCATCTAATATTCTTGCTTTTTATTTTTTGAATAGTTGTCTTTTTTGTAAGTTTTACTTAGAAAGGCAGGAGGACCAAATGTATCTGGGGACTATTCATTCAACCTCCTGTATAATATGCTACAAGTCCAGAGACTCTTTTCCAGAATACTGTCTGCAGTGTTCAGATGTAATCACAATGAACCAGTTATGGACCTATAAAATATATCCTTGTTTCAGTGAAAGTCAACATAACACTTCAAATTTCATTCTAGACATGTGACTATGGAATATTACTTCCTGCTCGGCAAACCCTCTTTTATCCAGTTGTGGCATAGCTCTAGCTTTAGTATTGTATTTGCTTAAAATTTTAATTATATTTTCTAAGTATGGGGAAAAAAGATATGACTCTCATGTACTTTTTAAGATCTCACTAAATTACAACTGATGAAGAACTTTTCAAATTAATTTTCAAATCTATAATTATCAGGTTTCTCATTTTAATTTTTGAAGATGTTTCATATAACCTGTCTCAGTAGTTTGAAAATCAGGAGAAAATAGTATTAATATCTTCCATCACTGTAGTACTTTGAG